ATATGATAAAAGAGACTTTAACTATTTCCAGTCATTAAGTCTCTTTGAAGGGATTCAACTCAGGCTTGGTAATATATTAAAAAGTTACAGAATTGATCAAATAATATAAATACGGTGCTTATTCCGTTTTTAAAAGTATATTTTAATTTAATATTATGTTCTTCCAGAATTGATACATAATAATCCATCATGAGAAAATGTGCATCAGGGCGCCTGGGGGGTTCAGTCAGTTGAGCGTCTGCCTTCAGCTCAGGTCGTGATCCCAGGGTCCTGGGATGGAGTCCCGCATCGGGCTCCCAGCTCAGTGAGGCGTCTACTTCTCCTTCTCCCTCTCCCCTGCTCATTCTCAGTCTCACACTCACTGTCTCAAATAAATAAAATCTTTAAAAAAAAAAAGAAAGAAAGAAAATGCCCATCTAATTATGAGTTCAAAATCACCCCATCCTCCAAAAGAAAAAACAAATTTTTGCCACTAGATGCAATTGTAAAATCTTTTAGAAGCTCCAAAGTCTTGTTGCCTAAAGTTTCTTAGTGCTTTTTTTTAAAAAGCTTAGAAAATTTGCAAATAATTTTTATTTATTTTTTACAGCGGTTTTTTTTCTAATTTTTTATTGAAGCAATTTTTTTATTCCAATTTATGTATCGTGGCAACACATAACATAAAATTTACTATCGTACCCATTTTTACGTGTGCTCTTCAGTGTATCAAGTACTTTCATAATGTGCAACTGTCACCACCATCATCTCCAGAATTCTTTTCATCTTGCAACACCAAAACTTGTCACCCATTAAACAATAACTCCCCACGATCCCCTCCCCCAGACCCTACTTTCTGTCCCCTTTCCCCCCCGCACCCCAGCCTGTGGTAACTGGGCTCCACATATAACTAAGATCGTGCAATATTTGTCTTTCTATGTCAGCTTATTTCACTTAGCCTAAGACTCTCCAGGTTCATCCATGTTGCAAATAGCAGAATTTCCTTCTTTCTCATGGCTCAGTAATATCCCGCTGTGTCTGTATATGTGTGTGTGTATAGTTAGATAAGAGATAGGCGTTTATTCGTATATAGATACAAATTATACATGCATGAATGATATATTTGCATATAATATTAATATTTATATATCATCACACTTATGTATTTCATTATACATGTAATATAATATTTAAACATCACATTTTCTTTATCTGTTCATCCATCAACCTTAGGTTGGCTATTATGAACTATGTTGCGGTGAATGTGGAGTGCAGATAGCTCCTCGAGACCCTGATTTCATTTTCTTTGGATATGTACCCAGAAGTGAAATTGCTAGATCATACGATAGTTCTATTTTTTATTTTTTTATTCTTGATTGTTCGAGGAGCTGTTTTCCACAATGGCTATAGCAACTTACATTCCCACCATGAGTGTACAGGAATTCACTTTTCTCCACGTTTGATGACACTTGTTACCTTTGACTTTTTAATAACAGTCATTCTTAATTCTTAAGTCACTCTTAATAACAGTATGAGGTGCTATCTCATTGTAGTAGTTTTGATTTCCCTGATGATTAGAGATGTTGAGCATCTTTTCATATACTATTTAACTATTTTAATTGGATTATTTGTGCCTTTTTTTTGCTATGGTGTTGTAAGAGTGCCTTGTGTATTTTTGGATATGAATTCCTTATTGGATATATGATTTGCAAATATCTTTCCCATTGTATAGGTTACCCTTTCATCCTGTTGTTTCCTTTTCTCTGAAGAACCTTTTTAGTTTGTGGTAATCCCACTGGTTTATCTTTTATTGCCTGTGCTTTTGGTGTCAAATCATTGCTGAAACCAATGCCAAGGAGCTTTTCTCCTGCTTTCTTCTAGGAGTTTTGCAGTTTTAAGTCTCTATCCCATTTAGACATTGATTTTTGTGTATGGTGTCAGGTAAGAATCAAATTTCATTCTTTCACATGTAGAGATCCTGTTTTCCCAACACCATTTGTGGAAAAAATCCTTTATACATTCTGTGTTCTGGTGCTCTGGTCAAAAATTAGTTGACCATAAAAAAAAAAATAGTTGACCATAAAAGTGTAGGTTGATTTCTGGGCTCTCTGTTCTATTCCATTGATCTATGTACCTTCTTGTATGACAGTGCCATACTGTTTCAATTACTGTAGCTTTTGCTAATATAGTTTGAAATCAGGAAGTATGATGTCTCCAGCTTTACTCTTCTTGCTCGAGATTGCTTTAGCCATTTAGGATCTTCTGTAGTTCCACATGAATTTTAGGGGTTTTTAAAAATTTCTGCGAATATGCCATTGGAATTTTGTTAGGGACTGCACTGAATCTGTAGATTTCTTTGGGTAGTATGGACATTTTAATAATCCATGAGCATAAGCTATCTTCTATTTACTTGTGTCTTCTTCAATTCCTTCACCCATGTTTTAGTTCTCAGTATACAAATCTCTCACCTTTGTTAAATTTATTTCTAAGTATCTTATTCTTTTCAATGCTGTTGTAATCGGGATTGTTTTCTTCTTTTTTTATGTTGTATATTGATTTTGTATCCTGCAACTTTACTGAATTCATTTATTAGTTTTAACAGTTTTTTGGTGGAGTCTTTACCGTTTTCTGTATATATAAGAACATATCATCTACAAACAGAAATAATTTTGCCTCATCCTTTCCTATTTGGATGCCTTTTATTTCTTTTTCTTGCCTAATTGCTCTGGCTAGGACTTCCACTACTATACTGAATAGAAGCAGGAAGAGTGGGCACCCTTGTCTTGTTCCTGATCCTAGAGGAAAGGCTTTGAGCTTTCACCAGTAAATACTATGTTAGTTATGAACTTGTCAAATATGGCCCTTATTATGTTTAAGTAGTTTCTTCTGTACCTAATTTGTTGAGCACTTCTATCATGAATAGGTGTTGAATTTTGTCAAAGGCTCTTTCTGCATCTATTGAGATGAGCATATTATTTTTATCCTTCACTTTATTAATATGGTATATCACATTTTATGATTTACATAGTTGAACCATTCTTGCATTCTTTCATAAAGTTTTTTTTTGTTTTTAAAGAATTCGATAACAATTTCCACCAATGCATTAACTATTAAGAGCTTTCATTTTGGTTGGGTGAAAGGCAAATCTTGATTTAGGAGTAATATATATATACTTACAAGATGTCAATAAATGCATTGCTTTTTGAGAACCCATGCAGATATTTTATAAAGTACTAATAATGCCTTTTCTGAAACCAATTTTAATATTTATCTTAAAACCTTTTAAAATGTATTATTTCATACATATTTTAAAAATTCAAATTCAGCCCTTTATAATAAGACACTATGACTAAAAAACATACTAGTTATTAATTTGTTTTCTTTGATTGTTCAAGTATATTTTAGCCAGTATTTAGTCATCCTTTTAATTACTTTTATCAAGCAACTACTATAATATCAGTGGGAGAATTTTGAAATCTCCCTGGAATCAATTGGCTCCCAAGTAAAGATAATGTAAAATTACATTGATTTTGTTTTCTGAATCAGAAGCAATACATATAGTCATTGGAGAATATTTTAGAATATAGGAAATATATTTATAAAGAAGAAAAAGTCATCCAAAATAATCACTATTAACGTTTTAGTATATTTCCTTACTGTCTTTTATATAAAAAGACATTTTTATATATTTTTAGCAGGTATATTTGTGTATAAATATAGCATGTGTAAAATCTTATATCTGTAGGCATCATGCTGGATATGCAGTTTATATTTTTTGGCTCAACATTAGATAATAAGTATTTTCCTATATCATTAACTATTATTCAATACCATTTTTAATGGCTGCATAGTATTTCCTTCTATGGACATGCTGTAATTCATTCAGCCATCCCCAATTGTTGGACATTTAGGTCATTCAAATTTTTTTTAATGTTATAAATTTTATGAAGCATAAAACAGATAAATTGAAGTACTCCTGAAAGAGAGGAACACAGGCATAAAAGTGATTAACTGAGGTACTACTGAAAGAGATGAACATCATGGTGATGTGCCAGGTGGATTAGACACCAAGAGTCGAATCAGAGAGACCCCTTAGTGGAAGAGCATGGGAGTCAAGGATATACTTAGGCCCTAGCTTATAGAAACAGAAAGGAAGGGATGCATATGAAAACTATTGTGTTAGAACCTTGGCAAGACTTGGCAAATGACGGGCATGTGTGAGATACGAGTCAGGAAGCACTTCCGAGTTTAATTTGTGTACTAGGGAGAACTAATATCGTAAACAGAAATTGTGAGTTTGGGGGAGGGCTTACTTGAAGGTAACTTTTAGCACGTTGAGTGTGAGTCATTTACCATGACACCGATGTGCCAGACTGAAGCTCTGATGGGTGCTCGGGCTGGAGATGAAAGTACGACCCATAAATGGGTGGAGAACATAATGGTGAGTTCATGAGAACAGCTGATCCACTTGAGGGCGATTCAGCACAGGTGATGGAAAATAGTTGAAGTTTAGTATAGAGAGAGAATGAGAAATCAGGCAATAGTTCTTGAGAGCCCAGAAAGAGAACATCAAGGCCAAAACCCACAGTGCTAAGAGTCATAGGCATCTGTGCTGAAGACAAGCTAATTATAACTTTAAAAGATTTCTTTTCACTGGTGATATGACCCTAAGCCAACACTAAAGACATTTGGGAGCAAGTGTGCGGTGACTGTGACTTTGAAAATTCAGTGGTAATGAGAAAGGAGAAGTGGGATGTGCATCTGGGGTGGCCAGAGGAGGTGGGGAGGTGGTGGGTGCCTGTGACCTCCTATTGCCCCGTTCACCTTCACGACTATCTCTTTCCAAGCAAGCCAGCCTTTCCTAATAAGGCTACCCGGGAAATGGAAAAGCAATGAACTCATAAAGGCAATTTACCTCATTGGCCTAAAACTTACTATTCAAAAGAAAAAAGGAAGAAATCTTTTACCCTTTAGAACTTTCAAAGAGATCATTTATTCAAAGGGGGAAAAATTATTTTTTTCAGGCAACCACTGAGGAAACTGAACCCAACAGTCAAGAGGATGAGAATGATGGCGGAAAAACACAGAAAGGAAATACAGAACTCGCCCCATCAGGTTTGTTCGCTAACAAACTAGTTTTAAGGTAGATGGTAGATGTCCTAACTGTTAAGACACAATGAAAATAGTCAAGGATTTCTCCCGCTGAGCCTGAGAAAGGTAGTCCGTGAAGGCGCTGGCACTGGTGTGGTCCTGCTGCCACCTGCAGGCTGCCTGGGGGAATCCCGGGATGTGACTGGTCTTTGCTGTAGCAACTGGAGGCCACACATACTTTTTTGCTCCTGTGGTGTTTTTTTGTTATTTTGAAAGTGTATCTCCATCACCAGAAGGATTATATTTCCCCAAATAAACGATGCTTAAAAACTGCGGGTCCTATTTTAGTACACGGCACATCACTAAATAAGATATAAACCAAAAATATATCACAAAAACAGACGCTCAAATGAAAACCGCTGGGGAATAGTTTAAAAGAATAAAGCAAAAAAAAAAAAAAAAAGAGAGAGAGAATAAAGTAAAATGAATGAATGAATGAATGAATGAATGAATGAAGTTAATGCCACTCGTGTGGACGGTGAGTCTGAACGTTCCCTAAGGTAATGTTCCTCAGTACTTTTAACACGTTTCATCTTTTGGCAGACGTAAAAACAAAAACCTCTTACCCTCCTCTAAATCCCAAATTATTTTAAAACGTATTTAAAAAATAAATGTTTTAAAATATGCTAAGAATTTCAGCATATGCTTTTTCAAACTAGATCGCACCCCCACCTTTTGATACGGCCCTCGCTCTAGACTGTACCTGAGTCTAGGCTATCCCTGAGTCTCCTTTATATAATCAGAGAACACTTTATTTTCATTGCATTCTATATACCACACAACCCTTAACACATTCCAGTTATGAAAATGTGCTGTTCAAAAGGAGCATTGGAATATGAAAGAAAAGAAAAAAAAAGGAATATGAAAGAAAAGACTCAGGCTGCGACTCAGTCGTTTGGGTAGAAACTCTTTAAATGTTCTCCCAACCAGCCCACCTGCCATAATATTTTGCATCAGCATTCTGCTCCGTGTAGTGTCATTCACATGGAGACTGTGACTCTTATTAACAACTTATATTTTCCATAGTGGGGTTCTTTGATGTGTTTAATGTTGTGTGATTTTTTTTTTTTACTATCTTGAAATAGCCTAGAAAACTCTGGCATCTGAGGCTCTTTAATACCTCTCATCACACTACAGTTCAACTTCCTATGGCCCAAGGGGGATATGGACTGGTGTGTTTTGCGGCATCGCGGGATAAATGGTCCTTGATGTGGTTTCCCTCTTCTGTTTCATGTCTCTGAATGTCACTCCATTTCAGAGCCACAGCATTTCACGACAACTGTGACTCGGTCCAGCCCGACTGTTCCCTTTGTAGAGTTTCCCTCCAGCCCCCAGCGGAGGAACGATGTGCTGCCAGAAGAAGACCAGAAGAAACTGGGAAATGAAATGAGTGGGAAGGTGGAGTTGGTGCTGTCCCAAAAGGTGAAGTGCATATCCCAAATGAGCGTGGCTTCATGTCGCAACTGGCTTCTGAAGTGAACTGATTGATAAAGTGGCACTTTTCAGAATGAAGATGTCTTTTCTCTCTGAATCTATTCCTATCTTCAATGGGTATTTTTTTTCTAACTACAAATGTGCTACATGTTCCTTGTTAAAACAAAAAAAAAGTTAAATGCATATAGAAAAGTGTGTGCATTAGGCCATCGGGGTGCTAGAGCAGACTCCCATGGACTGGGTGGCTTGTAAACAACAGACATTTATTCCTCGCCATTCTGGAAGCTGCAAGCCCGAGGTCAAGGTGTCTGGTGAGAACCCGCTTCCCGGTTCCCCGATCGCTGTCCTCACTCGGCGGCCGGGATGAGGGAGCTGCCTTGAGTCTCTTTTATAAGGACACAAATCACCTACGAAGGTACCACCTTGAGGGTTAGGGTGTCAACATAGGAACCTTGGGAGGCCCCATTCAGTCTGTAGCTATATGTTCTTCTTAACTTGTATTTATAGCGATGTACATACACAGGTAACAGATTTATCAAGAGATAATATGTAAACATATAAAAAATAATACATAAACCTTAAAAAATAGAACAGAGAGAAAAAGTCGCTGAAATCTGCCTCTATTAGTAAAAATTGACATATATATTGGTCTGTATATATTCACTCAATATCTTTTAAATTTTATTTTACATAATTTTTTAATTATGAAGAATTACATACATTTAAAAGAAAATGTAATACAAGCTCTAAAGCTTTGGGGTTAGGTGTTCGTTTGCTGTGCATGAGCTTGCATATTTGCAGCTTACTAAATATTCTCTTTCTAATATTTACCTGCTTTATAACAACGGTACTTCTGATGCCTCTGGACTTGCACAGCAAGAAAACTAGAAAATTATCATTCTATATAATGAGTTTTAATGTATTGTTTTTATTAAATTTCTTCCTTGCTTGGAGTCTCATTTCATTCATATTAATTTGGTCTGTTTTCAGCCACTGTCTAAGTCTTTATCTTTAAAAAAAATAAATAAAAAAAAATAAAAGTCTTTATCTTTTATACCAGTCGCTCTCAACCTTGGCTACCCTTTAGAATTTAAAAATACCAGGCATGCCCCATATCAAATAGATGAGACTCCCTGGGGGCAGGGCCCAGGCATCTGTGTTTGTGAAAGGGCCCCAGGTGATTCCAGTAGGCCACCAAGTAGAGAGCCATGGACTTGCACACTGGCTTACTCTAGGTGGTGATGTTCCAACTTTAAAAATCAACCCTAAGTTTGGATATAGCTTTAGAATGAAAAATTTACCACCTCTAGTTCCACTCCATCCATCGTTTACTCTATTGACTGTGCCCCTACTAGAAGCCAGGCACTGTGCTAGACAGTGGGTGTTCCACAGTGAACAGCACGCAGCCCATGGTCCGAGTTGCTGACAGCGCTGTGTCCTCGGAGCCTCAGAAATGCCCACTGCCTTAATGCTTTGGGGGGATTTCAAACTCTAGTTATAAATAGGGGATTAAAGAGTGGTCCAGAATTCTGAACGGAGGAACTAACCTGTAAGAAAACACTGGGGGCAGACACGATTTCCCACCTTTGCAGATCTTGCCTTATCCACATTACACTTGTAGCTATTATTTATTTATTCTTCTTCCAAGTAGGCTTCCCCCCACCCCCACTTAAGTCTAAACTGGAAAGAGAACCGTGTCGTTTTTAAAAATGAAACAAAATAAACACGAAAACTAAAAAGGGTTTATCTGCATGTCTCACCTGTGTGACCCATCTTTGGGCCGCCAGTGTCATGTCTACCATATACTATGGAAAAAATTGTTTTCAGGGGTTCTTAATTGTGTGTGTGTGTGTGTGTGTGTGTGTGTGTGTGTGTGTATCCTTTGGTAAACAGTATTCTCAAGATACTATGGTGAAAGCATAAAACACACATATTTTACCACATTTTCCTTGGTATCAAGTGATACCAAGTATATCCACCCCCTAAATTCTGTTCTGTGGACTCCAGGTTAAGAATCTTTACTAGTGGTTTAGCAAATGGAATAATGGTCTTAGAACCCAGTGCTTTTCTTGCACCGTATGAATCCCTTCCGTCCCTTCTCCCTACTGTGGAGATCGCTCTTAGAAAAAGAAAGCAGGTCACCGATGCCACAGCTTTTGTTTCCTGACTTCACTTGAGAGCGTCACCTTTATGAAAGAAAGTGCCCATGCACACAGGCTGACCTTTTTGCCACCTCTTAAGGTGGTCTTGAGCATTTCTGCTAGGAGCATCCATTTACAACTGAGCATTACCGAGGCATTTTTGTCAGACTCCACCACGGAGGAAGTGGTATGGGGTTAAGATTCGGGGATTATCAACTTTATAGTAAACCTAAGCCTTGGCTTTGGCTGCGTGTTTGACATCGAAGTTCACGTGGACATCTGATTGACCTCTGTAATGCAGAATGAAGTGATTAACTCTATTTTCTTCAGGATTCCATTAGGGTTGAATGTATTATTCATAAAGAAAAATAAAATTTTATCAAGAAGAAATTATAGGTATTAAATCATCCTGAGAACCAAATCACAGATCAGCTTATGATGAAACAATGCTCTTCAGCCTCAGTTGCCCTGTTGGCTTTCAAATTAGTCTATTGGGAGCACAACCACCAGCCAGAGTAAATCTGAGAAAGCCCTATAAGCAGCCAAAAGGACATGAACTGATACAGCCATGCCCCTCCTTGAGATCTTTGCTCAGAATCTACTGACTCTTATTTCAGACATCCGTTTGCTAATCTGGTCTTTCAGCGATCAGTTGATTGGAAGCAACAAATCCAAAGGACGGTGCTTCTACCAAAGGCCATTCAGGGTGGGGAAAAACAAATTAAAAACAGCAATGACAAGAAAAAATCTATTTCATATAGAAAGCAAACATAACAATCTTTAAAGCCTGTCGTTTTGGAACTATTTACCCTAAGAACAAGTGGTGTAACATGGCACAAAGACCTCCTGATGGCCCCATTGCTATGACACTAGTTGATAATAGTTATAATAATACTTCCTTGTCAACATGGGAAATCCATCACCTTCAATGTGCTTTGTGTAAGTTTATGGGAGGGCTCTATAATTTCTCAAGAATAATGTCCATTAGAAGGTGATATTTTATTTATTTTTATTTTTTTATTTATTTTTATTTTATTTTTATTTTAATTTTCAGCACTTACAGAGTGAGATTTTCTTTTATCTTATTGTGGAACATCCCACTTCCTGACATTACAAAATCAGTATTATGTAGTCAGTATTATGTAGAGAATATGTGATGGATCTATCAGAAAATGGGACAGAGTGATATACAATCCCAAAAGTGGAATATTATCTTCTGGGTTTGGAGAAAAGTGATCGTATTTTTATGCTCCAGTTTGACTTCCCTAAAAAAAATTGGCCTCTATATCAATGTAGAAAGTACAAAAGGGTTTGGGGAAAGGGTAAGCATCTCCATTTAAAGGTTACATATTTGGTTTATTGACTTACGTATTTGCCATGAGTCCTTAAATTTTATTTCACCTGTGCATTTTTTAATGGACACTACTTATAATGTTTCTGTCTGTTGCCCATGATCCAGGTGGTAAAGCCAAAATCACCAGAACCTGAAGCAACCCTGACGTATCCATTTCTGGAAAAAATGTCTGAAACCAACCAATTACATTTGCCAAATCTCAATTCTCAAGGTAAAAGAAATGCTTTATTTTAGCTCTACGTGCTTTGCTGGGCCCAACTATAGTAAAATGGTCTTTTTTATTTTATTTTATTTTATTTTATTTTATTTAATTCAATGAATTAACATAATATTTGGTTTATTGATTTACGTATTATTAGTTTCAGAGGTAGAGTTTAGTGAGTCTTTCACTCATATGTGGAAATTAAGAAACAAAACAGAGGATCATAGGGGAAGGGAGGGAAAAGTGAAATAAGATAAAATCAACGAGGGAGTCAAACCATAAGAGGCTGTTAACTAAAATACTTTTTTTTTAATACTCTTTATTTTAAAGGAAGATTACTTCCTTTATGTTAAATCCCATGAGCCGTAGTGTTTGCAAGAGTCCACGGTGGCTGAATTAAATGACTTCTGAACAGAAATCTGGGGTTACATTCTCTATTTGGCCCAGCCGGGAAACCAGCTGCCAAAACCATTTTGTCGGCATAAGGGAGCCTACATAAGTATTTGATACCTTAAAATAATGTTATTGGCTCCAAAATGTAAAAAATTAAAATTAAAATTAAAAAAAAATTACAAAATAAAAAATAACTTTAATAAAAAGTTTATCTTTCCTAGTATGATGTCAACTTCATTAATTGTTAATTATCTCATCTTTATAAAATATTCATTTAATCTGACAATCTGACTTTTCAGAAGAAAATCAGATTTTATCATCTCATAATAATTCCAGGGTGTGCATGATGATGGCTGAGAAATCACTCCCACCCACGGATCCAGCGCGTGCTGCAGACTCCCCAGGAGCCCCCCAGGCCATGCATAGTTGTGAACGCGCCGCTTTGCTCTTTAGGAGCGCTCTTGGGGTACCTTCCTCCCCGTGAGCACCCAGGTGCCCCCAAACAGCAGAAAGGGAGCCGAGTGCGAGAGTGTTCTTCAGAACAGACTCCCTGCCTTGCTGGTGTGAGTGCTTTTCCAGGGGCAGAAGCAGCCAGAGTTTAGGAGGCAAGACTGTCAGGTTTTGTTTGTTTGTCTTTTTTTGACCTACTCTTCCCGGTACATTTTATAGATTTATCAGGTCAGGCAAAGAGAAGATGGTCCAGGGCCGTTGTGGCTGGGGATTTATTTTTCCTTTTTCTTTTCCGGGGATGAGCAGCCTTCTCCAGCCACTCCTGGCAGCCCCTGGGTCGGCTTTCATCCCCTTAGTAGCGGGCTGGGAGAGGCGGCGGCTGTCACTGGGTAGCAGGACGTCCCAGGGAGGGAGCGGCCACGGTGCCTGGTCTCTGAACGTGGAAGCGGGTTCAGTACTGTCTTCAAAGCGTTTGTCTTAAATTTGTCAGCCCTCCTGTCCTGAAGGGAATCGACAGAAACGAAGTCTCGTAACTGGGTCGGCAATGGACCGTATTTAGACAGATTTTGAGCCTGCCCCATTTTTTTTTTACCACTTTTTAATTGTGAGGATCAGTAATACGGAGGGGAAGTAGCTATTTTAAGCCACCTTAATTAGTTTTGTTGTCTCACATGTTTTGACAGCCCGTTACCTGTGGCAGGGCATTCCGATTTTATAAAACGTGCTGTTCACTAAGGGACTTCACGTCACGTGTTACCGAAATCGAGTGATTAAAAAAAAATGAAGCTTAGTAGCACTAGAGCATTTCAAACATGAGTCTTTATGATAGAATCGTATCTGGTGCACACCTGTTCTGTGCGCTCATCCGGTTCAACGGAAGCTGGAGTGGCCGTTGCGGGCTCTGGAGACAGAAAGCCCGGGTTCGAATCCTCGCTCGTCTCCCCCCCACCAAGAGCTCCTAATCTCTCATTGTCACCTGCCAGCTGTAAAGTGGAAGTCACAGTACCGCCGACTTCATAGGAGTATTGGCAGAATTAATGAAATGAGATCGACCCCACAAAAGTGTTTATTTAGCTCAAGACCTGGCCCAGAATAAGCACCAATAATATAATCTAGTCGTTTCAGAACGGTGGCAGCGGGAGTGTTAGTACAAAGCAAGATGCCAGGTGGCAATGAGCTATTCTAAATGCTCTTCTTAAGCTTGGAGTGTATGTTGTAGACTCACGGCTTAACGCGGCAATTTTGGAGCGTGCGTAAGAGCCAGGGTTCCGCGCCGGCTGGTGAAGACGCGGGCGTCTGGGCTGCGGCCTGCAGCGCCTGGGTGGGTCTGGGCTGGGGCCGGGGGGTTCGCATTTCTGACGAGTTCCCAAAGGCGGTGCCGAGGCTGCAGATCCAGGGGCCACACTCGGAAAACCCCTGGGAGGCATAGGATTTTGCCCAGAAACAAAAACTCAGTGGGAGTGGGAGGAGCAGGGTTCCAGGGGCAGAACGGGTAAGTGAGGGGGACGAAAGGCGCGGCTCCACGTGTCTGCCCCCATGCTCCGGCTGGGGCCCTGCACCTGGGGCTGGGGCCACCTCTCTGCGCTTCGATGACAGGGGTCCACGGGTCTGTGGTCGCGTGCAGTCCGAGGAAGCTGCACGGCTAGGACCCTGGCGCCTCCTGTCCCCTCCCCCGGGCCGTGATGGCTCCCCTGTTTTTATAGACTCACCTGTCCAGAGACTGGCTGTGGGGGCTGCTGGAGATCCGGCCGCGAGCCCCGAAACCGCACAGATTCCCCTTAAACACACACACACGTCTTCCAATACCCTGAAAACATCAAGTACGCCTGGAGGTGACGGTCCTCTGCCCCGCGGTGTCCTGGCGGCTCGGGGCTGGCATGGCGCGAAGACAGGTGCTCGCTCTGGAAGCCCGTGTCCTGATCCGCCCTGAGGACGGGCTTTCTTTCTTTTTTTTTTTTTTTTTAAGATTTTCTTTATTTATTCCTGAGAGACCCAGGCAGAGGGAGACGCAGGCTCCGTGCAGGGAGCCCGATGCGGTACTTGATCCTGGGACCCGGGGTCACGGCCTGGGCCGAGGCAGGTGCTCCACCGCTGAGCCCCCCGGGCGCCCCTGGCCTGTCCCGTTTCTGTTGGTTTTTGCCCACGTCTTCAGGTTTCATGTGTTTTATTGAGATATTTTGTATTTTAGATTCACTCCTTCTCGGCGCCTGCAGCCACTACAGCCAGATCTCCTTCGGGACTGGGGAGCTCGGTCCTCCTGGCTCCTCACCCCCATTCTCACGGTTTTCTGTCTGTTCTGTTGTGCCATCTGCTCCAGGGTCGCCTGGCGCTGCCAGCTCCCCGCTCAGAGTTCAGAACTCTTGGCGGCGCTCCCAGTTTTTCTCGCAGTCAGGTAAAATGCGTCCTGGGTAGCTTTATCTCCTTTGTGCAAAAATCCCTGTCGGGGCCACCAACAACGTCTGGTCGTCTTCTTCATTTCTGATTTCGGGGGGAAAAATGCTCATTTCCGACACACAGTTAGCAGAGAGTGAGTTCTTTGATGCCAGTACCACGTAGACTGAAATTGGAAGGAAATTCGTAGTTTTCTTTGATTTTGAAAATCTGAAGAAATAATATTCGACTCTTTCTTTAAAAAAAAAAAACAAAAACCAAAAAAACAAAATATAAGCGTTCAAACTCATTTTTTGTCTTTTTTTTTTTTTTTTGCCAAGGATAGAAGCATTTACCAGGAACTGGTAATGGTTCTCTTGTTAACTGTGTCCCTCTGTCTACTTCCCGGATGTCTGGCCTCCCTCTGTGTGATGATTCTCCACGTCAGACAGTGAGGGAACCGGGCGAGCCAGCCGCGACGCAGGGGCCTTCAACACTAGCACCTGTCGTTTTTGCTCCTAGAGTCTAGTACCTGGTGCTGATGGATGGGCTCGGTCATACTACGCTGGTCCTATAACATCTTTTGGTGATGGGTACAAATTGCTTCAAGGGTGTGCTTCATTAATGATTTTCTAATGCTCTCGGCTTACCAAAAAAATTGATCGGAGGCTCACCTAGCAACCGCGCTCCACCCCGAGGACCAAAGCAAAATACTGTTAGAAGCTGCTCACGTCGTGATCTTTTCTTTTTTTCTTTCTTTCCTTACAGTGGATTCTCCAGGCAGTGAAAAGTCGCCTGTAACTACTCCTGTAAGTAGCTCATCTTAAGGAATAAGATCTTGCATATAGTGTGATTTTATTCTTATTTTTTAATTTTTTTTAGTAAATTTATTTTTTATTGGTGTTCAATTTGCCAACATATAGAATGACACCCAGTGCTCATGCCCTCAAGTGCCCCCCTCAGTGCCCATATTTATTTATTCATGAGAGACACGGAGAGAGAGAGGCAGAGACACAGGCAGAAGGAGAAGCAGGCTCCATGCAGGGAGCCCGACGTGGGACTCGATTCCGGGACTCCAGGGTCCCACCCTGGACGCTAAACCGCCGAGCCACCCAGGGATCCCCTGTAGTGTGATTTTAATGTATAAAGTATTTGTTTTGCTTAAAGAGGATTCGATCAAAAATGGGCTCTAAATGATGGTAAAAGAACAATGAAAAAGTCACGTGTAATGCTGTCGGGTGAAATTCGAATACAGACGTGGATGATCACTATGCAGAGTCGTGATCATGCCCAGAAACAAAACAGTGAGTGAGTCAGGAAAGTAAAATTCCATGAAGGTAACGATAGGAATTAGTTGTAGAACCTGCAACTTCTATAAGCGCTCAAGATCTTTTTTTTTTTTTTAACCGAGGACGATACTTGTCCACGGGCAGACGGTTCCCACCCGGAACTCTCTGGGCGACCCAAGCTGTCCTTGTTGCACTCCTTCCCACAATCAATGTCTTGGATAGTGTTGACTGTACCTTTAGCTTTCAATTTTTTATTCTGATGGTACCTAAAAAAAAAGCATTTGCAGAAAGTCAACCTGAAGACGCATGATGCTGTAGAAACCGCTGGCGGCCGAATTGCATGTGCACGCTCTGTGCAGACCTGACTCCTCCCTGGACTGAGTGCTCCCAGCACTGGGCCCGTCGCCGTCACCGGGCTCACTCTCTGAAATTCCCGCCGGATTCGGAGACTTCCTCTGCACAGCCGCCTATAGCGCTCCCGGGAGCTCCCGGGCGAAGAGGCATCCTCACGGAGGTGCCCCCAGATTCCAGCATTTCCTAGCATGTGACCCTGCAGATGTTACGTGACCTTTTTGAGCCTTACGTTCCTTGATTGTGCAAAGAAGAGGTCATCCCTCCCTTAAGGGTGCTGTGAGCTTTCACGGGCGTGATGACATGAAGCCTTGAGGACAGTGCCTGACCCGGAATTAATCCTCCTCGGTGATGAAGGCCCCCCAGAGCCAAGAGCAGCTCTCGTCTACAGGTGACGTGTCTCCCTTTGGGAATTCCTGAGTGTCCTTGCAGGACGGGGAAGGGTCTCAGGACCCTCAGTATTTCCAGCCACCTGCGGCCAGGACGGGAAACCTGCAGCTGAGTGCACCGCGGTGGGCGGGAGCCCCCGGAAGGACCCCACAGCTGGCACCCACAGCACGGGCATGAGATCTGCAGACAAGCTCCAAGAGGGAGGAAGCACTTGGCCGCGGGGGACTCGGACCCTGTTCAACTCCCTTGCCTATAGGCTCTGGGGCCCGAGCCTATGATGGGGGAGGAGAGTGTGCGCAGCATGAAGTGGCTCCATCCCGGATTCAGTGTCACCACAGGCCCCAACATGGAGGCCCGGGGACACGTGGGGGGCGGGGATGCAGATGTGTAGACAGACAGACTCTAGGACCAAGTGGGCTAAGCGCGCCCGGTCTTCTCTAGCACCTTTCGCGTTTCTTCTGCAGCAGCTGTGGCAGCATCCCCAGCGTCAGGGCCCCACACCCACCGCCCACTGCACACTCAGGTGTGAGCTCCACGGGGCCTGGGCCACAGGTACCCCACCTGGCCCCCGACAGGGCTCAGCCAGGAGTCACCTGCGGAAGGGGTGGGATCACCTTTCCTCTGCATCTGACCCTGAAAACCCTCAGGGTTTCCCCGTCTTCCCCAGATGTCCCAGCCCTGCGCCCCGTGTCCCTCCCTCACCTCCCGGCTGCCTGCCCTGCCTGCGTGCCCCTCACCTCTGCTTGCAGTTCCCGCCTGGAGAAGCCGGAAGATGAGAGCATTCCTCATCGATGCTCTATCTTCCCACCGGACTCCCTCTGGCTTTATTCACGTGACCGCATCCTTTGTCCTCAAAACACAAAGAAGGGCGCCCTTGAGGGAGGTTCTTGGACCGTTCAGCCGCTCCTGAGGTCCCCCCCCCCCGCAGGTTTAGGAAATGCCAAGTGAAGCCAACCTCTAACCCACTAAGTCCAGGTCTCTTCCCTGGAATCCCATTTGGGTGACATTTTACGGTCCTGCGAGGAGACTTGAGCAATCTCGGACTATATACCATTAAGTAGCTTTTCTCCTACACGACGCGTTAGAGCCTTTGGCTTGGCGTGAATCCCACGCGCGGCATCCAGGAAATGTGTTTCCCCGCCTTGTTTGCCCACCCTTCCTTGACCTTCTGTGGGCATCATCCTGAGCAGGTGCAGGCACCCCGGCAAGAGCCTCAACGGGGGCTTGTAAGCGGAACTACGTGAAGGTCACCACATTGATATAGTAAGGAGCCAGGCAACCCCCCGCGGGACCTCCGTTCCCAGCTTGGAGACTTCCCAGGGCCAGTCCAGCCCCGGAGGCAGGGCAGGGTGGGAGGAGGGCTGGCCCAGGCACCCCGATCAGAATGGGGTGGGGGGTAAGGTGCCTGGCTCCTGGGGCACCTGCTGGCCTTGGCAAGTCCTCCAGGTGTCGGGAGGGCCAGGCTCAGTGCCACAGGCCGCAGCCCATAGGCAGGTTGCCCGGAGCCCGGCCGTGACTCCTCTTGCCCTGTGGACCTGCTCAGCCGCACAGGTTCTGTGACCTGGGTGCCCACTTCGCTCCGTGCTCCTTCTCTCATTATTCCCGCTCATTCATTTGGTGCCAAACCCACAAACACCTTTAAAAAAAAAAAAGAAGGCTTGGGTCTGAGGTTGGCTGCGCGGGTGCCAGGCAGAGGCTCCGTGTCACCTGGGTCCCGGGGGTGCCAGAGGACGCCCGCGACCTCAGCCGTGGGAGGAGCGAGAACAGCTCTCCGTGTGGCAGGCACCGCTCTGCAGAGCGCCCCGCCTGTGCGGCCCCGGACCCAGATGCACAACGAGCACCTCTCGCCCAGGAGCATGAACCCAGATGCACAACGAGCATCTCCGCCCAGAAGCGTGAATCTGTGCAAGGGACCACTTCTGCAAGAAACGAAGCAAAAGCCTCCCGTGCTGGGGGCTAATGGCCTCCACGTTTTCCTTAGCCCCAGCGATGTTCAGAGTCCCGCCAGCCTCTTGGAAGTCAGCCAGGGAGGGGTTAAGATTAGAAAGCAGTTTCCGTCGACCAAAGAGGGTGTTTGCGTGCAGGGGGCTCCTGCTTGGGCGCGTCCGTCGGGCGCCGGGCTGTAGGCCGCTGCGTCCCCCGCCCCGGGCCACCCGGGAGGACATGGCTTAGTTCTGATCACGATTTTATTTTCTACGCAGTTCAAGTTCTGGGCGTGGGACCCAGAAGAGGAGCGCCGGCGACAGGAAAAGTGGCAACAGGAGCAGGAACGTTTGCTCCAGGTACGACTGGGCTCACAGCTTCCTTTTCTCCGTTAGGCAATGCTCTCTTAGTGACCCTTGTATTAAATGGATTCTCAGCACCGCAAATGCACGGAACTAGGTCTCCTCAGGAGCTGGTGAGTCTACATCGCTCACCTTGTGCCCGTGCAACACGGTGCCCTGTGTCTGGTTCCTCTCGTCGGGGAGGCGACGCTAATGAGCACAGTGAAAAAGCATTTCATTAAAACAAGCAAACAAACAAAACACCCAAGGGGGCGCCTGACTGGCTCAGTCGGTGGAGCACGTGACTATTGATCTTGGGGTTGTGAGTTCAAAACCCACTTTGGGTGCGGAGATGACTTAAAAATCTTCCCAAAAAATAAAAATGCAGGTATTGGGGGTCAACCTGTCCATGTGTCACCTTCCTAATTGCCAATCAGACTCCAGTCCAAGGAGCAGTGGGGATGAGTTACCGAAAAGCTATTTGATTGTATACACATAAAATAAAAATTTGGCCTCGGTTTTGTTCCTTAAGTGGAAATGTTTGTTCCATCTTTTAGTCAAGGCTGCTATTTTTAATTCTAGGAAAGCCTTGGGAGCGTCTCCCACTCCCTGCGCCGTGCCCGTCCATCGCCCTGGGGAGGGGAGCACGTGATGTGAGCTTCTAGAGCCAGTAAACCTCAGCTGTGCTGGTGCTTCAGCTTGCGTTAGGTTTAGAGCCTGTTTTCCTCTATCCGGAAGGGCTCCCGAGGTCCCTCTCAGAGACTCTGTAAGGTCTGATCTTGATAACAAAGCAGAGTTAAAACCCGGCCATGGGGTGACCAACAGTGGTTTCTCCCGAGCATCATAAAAACATCAGGCTGCAGACAATCCCAATAAAGCCCTTTTGCTCCCAAGATAATGACGCCCCTGGGGATGCCTGGAGGAAGCCTCACTGCCTTCCCCAAGGGGATAAAGGATAAAGAGGATAAAGGACTCGTGTTGGCCCCAGAGAGAGTGGACCATAGTCAGGCTGGGACCTCTGGCCGCATGGGGTTCACCAGGGATGCCTCCATCTCGGCCGCATCGGGGGCACCATCCCCGAGGCGCCCAGGGGTGTCGGCTCTCATCGTGACCATTAGAATCTTAATCTCTATGTCTTCATTTCTTCTGGTCACCTCTCCGGGGGACCCCAGTCACATTTTCAAAGCCACCCTTACTCAACTGATCATCTTGTCTACTGTGGCCCTTTCTGCACCATGGGTCTCGTAAACCTACAAGGTTCTGTTTGGTTGGTTGGTTGGTTGGTTGGTTGTTATCTTGCCTTTTATCCAACTCTCTCAATACCAACGTATTTCTGTCCGTGAAATAACAGAACTTACCCCTCGAGGGCCCGGTCGACCCAAACCGTAGGCTTAGCTCACCTCCTGGGACAAAAGCCAAGCTAAGGAAGACCTTAGGGTCTTTTTGGTCTGTCTTTTCTCTGCATAAACCAGCGTCCACTCAGGTACCTAGAGAACGCCAAGCACAGAAGACCCCGTCCCGGTCAGGGCTCCCATGCCTTAGCCCGTTGGGGTGCCCCAAGGTGGCATTGCCCTTGCGCAGCGTGAGAGGTCGGACGCAGACTGCTGCTGCACGAAGTTGGTCCTGCGATGTCTTGTGTTTGGGGGGGGGGGTCCCAGTGGTCTGTGCAACGTCTGTTCACGAGCCTTCTGGAAATTCTGTAACAGGAGAGATACCAGAAGGAACAGAACAAGCTGAAGGAAGAGTGGGAAAAGGCCCAGAAGGAGGTAGAGGAAGAGGAACGCAGATACTACGAGGAGGTAGGGGGTCCCAGGAAGGAATTTGACCCGTGGCTCTGATGCCTCAGTTTCCCGGTGGCATCAGCAGCGTCTCACTGTCCTTGCATCTCGGCCCCATGGGCTTCCTCAAAGAGTCCAGTCCCGGGGCTCAGGGAGACCACAGGCCCCAGGCCCGGAGGGTGGGAAGGGCATTCAGGTCACGGGCGGGGACGCCAAGCGGGCCTTCGGGTCTTCAGTAGAGGCAGGGTCCTCATTTGCCTTGGGGAGGCGGCCTGGGAGCCCGTGTGTTTGCTCAGGAAGTCAAGTTTGCTGGGAGTGAATTAAATTTCGAGACGATGATTTTGACATTGAGGCTAAGTGAGTCCTTAACCACCGCGTTCACGGTACGGTACTAAAGAGATCTGGAGGGAGGAGAATTTGGTTTTGTTTGTCTCATCTTTTTTTTTTTTTTTTAGATGAACACACCAGACCACAGTAGAGAGTTGGAAGGAAGCTCTATTTAATGTGTATTATCTAAAATTTGTTCATGACTAATTTTGTTGTGAATTTATCTTCAGTAGTTTTTGTGCATAATCTGATCCCTGAAAGCATTTCTAATTAGGCCTCTTGAATCTGACTAAGTAATTTGCAAAAGACTTTGGTTTTTCCAAATTAAATGCTAATTTCTAAATTATTGCCCATAGAAAGTGTTATCTGATTTACATGCTTTTAGAAAATAAGACACACACACCCTTTTTTTTTAATGCCCTGCTTGTTTGCACATAATCCAATGGGTTTTTTTGGAGGTTTTGTTTCTATGGGTTTTTTTTTTTTTTAGTTCCTTAATGCAATTTTCCTCTTGACAAATATCAAGAGATTTTATTTTATTTTATTTTATTTTATTTTATTTTATTTTATTATTTTATTTTATTTTATTTTATTTTATTTTGTTTTGTTTTATTTTATTTTTTATTTTATTTTGTTTTATTTTATTTATTTTTTATTTTATTTATTTTTATTTTATTTTATTTTATTTTATTTTAATTATTTTATTTATTTTATTTTATCTTATTTTATTTTATTTTATTTTATTTTATTTTATTTATTATTTTATCTTTCCCCTTTCACCAACTTCTATCCTTCCCTTTAGGAGCGCAAAATAATTGAAGACACTGTGGTTCCATTTACTCTTTCTTCAAGTTCTGCAGACCAGCTGTCAACATCCTCCTCTGTGACCGAGGGCACTGGGACAGTGGTGAGACCTTAGATTAAAATCAATCTGTGAAATAAATAAACCTAAAGAGAAGTACATAACAACAAGGCAACTCTCCCATCAGTTTGAGTCCGGGACTAGGCTATTCCCCTAGAGTCAGCCGGTGTGTGGCCCTTGGACCAGGCGCTGTCACTGCCATGGCCAGGCTCCGAGTCATTTCCTGGGGAGCAGGGAAATCATTACTGGGGCCCGATCTGCTCCCACGGCCTGGCCACCGAAGTCTCTGCACTGGCTGGAGACATCCTGGTTAGTGGAACCATGTGCTGCAACATCCCCCTGACCGCCCATCATTCACTCATTCAACAGACGTGTGTCCCTGTCGGCCACACCGTGTGTTCCTTTGCACCGGATGATAGCAGGGGGAGGCCAGCATCATACCCCAACCAGCTCCGCACAAGCTGCCTCCAGCCCACTCTTAAAATCCCACGTGAAATTTATATGCATCTTCACAGGCTGCCGAGAGCGCAGAAAGGGTGGTCCACCTCCATCTCCCCCAAGTCGGGTTGTGAAGATACCGAACAAAAGTCACATGGAGACTGGAACAGTCTGTAATCTGCATTAAAAAAAAAAAAAGGCACTCGAAAGCCATTGCTCCTAAATGAATACTCCGATGGCTTCATTTTATTTTGAAGGGTGGTTTTCTAACCAGCTCTCTACCATGATGACTTTCAAGAGAGATCCAGATTATACATTTATTTCAGATCATTGGAAATCCGTTACTCTTCAGTTAGTCTGGACGGTTGTGCTTTACGTTGTAGGCACTGTGATTGGAAAAAAGTGTTTCAGATATTCTCCACGGCCGGAGAATAGTGTTTTCCAGTGTGTTTAAAAATTATATTCAGGGGCGCCGGGGTGGGTCCGTTGATTAAGCTCCGCCGACTCTTGGTTTCGGCTCAGGTCGCGATTTCGCGGGTCGTGGGATCGAGCCCCGTGTTGGGCTCCACGCTGAGCAGGGAGTCTCCTTGAGGTTCTCTCCCTCCCTCGTCCCTCCCGTAGCATGCACCTGTGTGCGCAGGCGCGTTCCTTCTCTCTGTTGCAAATAGATAAATCATGTCCAATATTATCTTTGTTTTCTCAATTAGAGTAAGATGGACTTGGAAAATCGTCGGGAGGAAGAACAGGAGACAAAACAGAAGAAGCCACTCCGGGGGGACGACAGTGATTTAATGCCTAAGACTAGGGAAGATCACCCCCTGGAGGGAAAGGGCAGGTATGGACTGTCTCGGGGCCTCCTCGTAACTGCGCGCGGCCAGGCCTGTCTGCTCCCCAGGAAGGGGACCCGTTTCTAACGCGCATCACATTCAGCTTCGAAACTATCATTCCTGTGCCACGTTGTGTGTTGCCCCCAACACATTCTGAGATCTCTGAAGTCAGTCTTTATGATACGAATCATCTTATGTTTAAATAGGTGAGATCTTTTTCAAGTTAGGGGAGATCGTATAGACCATCAAAGGAGCACGTTGTCACTTGAAAGCCCCAGATCTAAGTATCTTTCACCTGAAACGGTGAACGTGTCCCGAGGGACAGAGGATGCAATGAGGCCCTGGGGTCCTACCCACCGTGGGTTGACTGTGGGCCTGGCTTCTGCCATCAGTGTCCTCTGCGCTGCGAGAAGCCACATTTACTCTGGGTGACAATATAAAGGATAACTAACAAATGGATCGGTCGTAGATCCATCACCATCACCCCACCCCGTGGGTTCCCGCATGTTCCTCGGGAGAGCCAAACAGGGTACCTAGAAGCCTCTGGATCGTTCAGAGCTCGCTCAAACTGGAGCGGAATCTGGTTGCGGCTCTAACATATGCGAGGTCCCTGCGAGGGACCCACAGAACCCCAAGCAGCTGCCAGTACCCTGCCTCCCTTATGAGTTCTTTAGGAGACAGTTCTTTACGAAGCAGATGTTTGCTTCCGGGGCTCTGAGACGCCCAACAGATGTTGGCAAGTGTGCAAACATATGCACACCTACATGTCCACCAGTCTGCATGCCTACACACGTGTGTGCACACAGCATCCTCAGAGAGACCCAAAGACACGAAGGGCCAAGTGCCATTTTTCCAAGACTGTCCAATTTGAAAGTTTGGCTGGAGGCCGAGCTCTTCTAGTGGGATCTGCTCTGAGAATCCTCCTGCATCCATCAGCTGGAGGACTGGGTGAGTGGTGACCCCAGGAGCCCCGGGTCCATGTCCAGAGTCTGCAGAGCCTTTGCAATAAATAGCACATCCGTTTCCAGTTGGCACTATTGAAAGAAACTTCCCGGTTTCATGAAACAAAAGCCGCTCGTCAGGAATGTTTGAATGGAGCTGCTAAGCCTTGTATGTGATGTTTTGCTGCCCCTCCAGACAGTCCCTGTTATCTCCAGAAACTTTGTTTTTCCCAAAAACTTTTTGAACCTCCTCCTCCTCCTCCCTTTACACACAGAAGCTCCTGCAAGGCCAGTGAATTCGCATGGGCTGCCCAAATCCTGCATGGCCCAAGTGGTCTCTACAATGAGTCCCTCTCTTGTGAAAATCCGGGAGATCCCGGTTAGCTCCGACATCCCTTGAAATGATCAGAATGAAGAGCTGTCTGGACAGGGAGATGGAGAAGACATCAGAAATGATGGTCTCTTAAGCTGATTAAATTGATGGATAGTGGAAAATGTGTACGACTTTCCAGGACTTTAAATCTGGTTTAAAATGAAAAGAATAAATACACACGCAGTTAGTCCCATTTGTTTTTCAAATTGTAGCTGGAACGTCCAGGCCCGAAGAGATAGGGTGAGCTTACCACCCAGTTCAGTTGTTTCCATCTGTGTTCTAAAATATACTTGTTTATCCTAACAGCCTAACTCAAGGGGCCTTGGCTCCTTCTAAGAATCCTGGATCAAAAGGAGTCCATCAGGACCATCAACTGGATGCAGAAACGGGGGCCCTCCACTGTGGGATGAATTCCCAGCTAGCTCAGGGTAAGAATGGGTGTTTAAACCCAATAATTAAATTATTATAATTCCCCCCAAACACGGTTCAGACACGTATGACCTCTACCGGCTGCAAGCTTCTCTTGTAGCTGATGCTGCACAGTACAGGGAGTAGAGTCCCACCAGCGTGGGCCCACAGAGCTCACGAACTCACCACGAGACCACAGCAGGCATTAGTGCTTTCAAGAAAGATGATATACAGGGCCGCTGGGGGGCTCAGGAGTGAGCATCTGCCTTCCGCTCAGGCCGTGACCCCGGGGTCCCGGGATCGAGTCCCGCGTCGGGCTTCCTGCAGGGAGCCTGCTTCTCCCTCTGCCTGTGTCTCTGCCCCTCTCTATCTCTGTGTGTCACTCATGAATGGATAAGTAAAATATTTTAATCTAAAAAAGACGACATACAAAGCACTAGGGTGATGTCACTGAACACTGAGTTTGTGTTCTTTATTCTTTACTTGGCCTTAGATCCACCCCAGAATCCGCAGGTATCAAACCCACCAATGCACGTTTTAGAAGATGTGAAGCCAAAAACGCTCCCTTTGGATAAAAGCATTAACCATCAGATCGAGTCGCCGAGTGAGAGACGGAAGTGAGTAGCCAATAAGATGCATGTGGAATTCCTTCCTTTGTGTGTTTTTAATTTATTGACTAAGAATGGGAAGAAAGAGTGTGAGATGGAGAGACGGCAGCAGTCTTTTTGTGCTTCTCTCCGTTGATGCCGAGTGATCAGATGATAAGTGTTTATGGGTGTTCGAGACAGTCTTCCTGGCAACTAAGCATGCACACTGATTTTTATCAGTTTGCAAGAGCAAAGTAATGTTTTTAACCTTCAGATCTGAACATTTAGGAGGAATGTGCAGGTCTGTTGTATTAGCGATTTATTGAAGTGAGTTAAATTGTCTCAAAGCCTGTTGACAAATGTTCTTTGAAAAAACAGAGAAAAATGAGAAAATAAATGAGAAAAAAATGTTTTTCTCTCATTTACATGCTCTCCCATTAAGCAATACCTCCAGGCTGTATTCTTATTTTGTAAAAAAAACTGTATTATTTTACAATAAGCATAGTTTTTATCATTTTTGAGGCATTTCAATATGTAATAGGCACTGTGTCAAAGCGTTTACATATCTCTCCCCTTTTTTATAGACATTAATTCACTGAACTCTTCCAATAACTTTACAGGGTTGTTGTTTCCATTTAGAGATGAGAACATTGAGGCTCAAGGAAATTAAATAACTTCTCCAAAGTACTTGACTGCCTAAGTGGTAGAGGAAGTCAAAATGAACCCATCGTTCCATGATAAGATCATATTTGGGCTAGAGGTTTCTTGTAATAAATTTTTTTTCTTGTAATCAATTTTTAACATATATAATAACATCCATGACAGTCATGATACATTGACCAATCATTCGATGTAGAGCTAGACCACCTGGCTTCAAGCTTTGACTCTGCCACTTGCCTACATTGGACTCTAAGCAAGTTACTTGATCTTCCTCTGCCTAAGTTTCCTCATGTATAAAGTGAGAATAATCTTAGTACCCTCCTAGGGTTTTGTGCATGGCAAATGATAGGTGCTATATAGTGTAGGTGGTAGTGGTGAGAATGCAAGTAGTGGTGCTGCTGCTGCTGATGGTGCTGGCGATGATGCTGGTGATGATGATGGTGATGGTGTTGGTGATGATGGTGCTGGTGATGCTGGTGTTGATGCTGGTGATGGTGCTGGTGATGGTGATGGTGGTGATGCTGGTGATGGTGATGATGCTGGTGATGGTGATGATGCTGGTGCTGGTGATGGTGATGATGGTGCTGGTGATGATGATGGTGATGGTGTTGGTGATGATGGTGCTGGTGATGCTGGTGATGGTGCTGGTGATGGTGATGGTGGTGATGGTGCTGGTGATGATGCTGGTGATGGTGATGGTGATGGTGCTGGTGATGGTGCTGGTGATGGTGGTGGTGATAGTGATGGTGCTGGTGATGATGCTGGTGATGGTGATGATGCTGGTGCTGGTGATGATGCTGGCGATGGTGATGGTGCTGGTGATGGTGCTGGTGATGATGATGGTGCTGCTGTTGCTGCTGGTGATGGTGCTGGTGGTGCTGGTGCTGGTGGTGGGAGGGGGATGGTGATGATGGTGACAATGATGGTAATGGTATAATGATGATGGTGATGGCGGTGATGACTTGTTTTATGAGTTCATCTTTCTACCTTATTTAGTTACACTTTTTTTCTCAATTTAGTATTTGAACCATTTCCCCTTATCGCTTATGTCCATCCTATTTTATTACCATATGTCCCGATGACACTCAAAATCAATAGAAGGTAAAATCACATAGAAGTAATCATTATTATCTTGATTACTGCTCTGATTTTCAGCCTTTTCAAAGGCAATGTACTTACCCTGTATATGAGTACATTGGTACGTGAGTACCTCCGGGTATATAGTCTGATCCCCTGGAGGAGACAGGCTCTGCCTGAGGAGAGAGGTTGGAGCGGGCGGGGGCTCAGGGAGTCGTTCTGAAGGCAGTTCAAGGACCGACGCACTCGTGCCTTGTTCACTTCTGTGTTGGCATTTCTCTTTTCCTCCTTCTTTTCTGTGTTCTGTCCCTTTCTTCATAAATGAAGTTAACTCCTAAAAGCAAGAGCCCAGAGCAGGCTCACATCCACCACGAGCAGGGCTTAGGCGCAGGCTCAGCCCAGGTACCCCCACAGAGCACCTGTAAAACCCTTGTGATGCCTTCTGGCTGGGGGCCGTTCAGCGGTGTGGATGTTCATGACACAGCAGTCACTGAATGTTTTGAACATGACCCCTAATGTACCCGTGATGGACTCATTGGTAGGGGTCGAAGCCACCTGGTGGCAACAATACCTCCTTTAAGATCTGCCCTTTAGCTCTGGGCTCCTTTAAAGAGCATCTTCCTGTATCCCTCCTCATCTCTCCCCACCCGCCCAGTCCCTAAGTTTTATATCTAACCCAGCATGCAAAGGTAACTAGCAAAGGACCTTGCAAAAAAAAATAATAATAAAGATTAGAAAGGTATTTGATCTTTTCTCTCCAGCTGTGCTGTGCCAGCCTGGCTTTGATATTGTACAGCCAGTGCATGTACAGTCTTTGCTAGGTGGAATGGCTGGTGTTTTTTTGTTTGTTTGTTTTTCATAAAAAATTACCACTAGGACGTTCCGTTGTTTTTTGTTTGGTCACCAAGGGAGTGGGGTTTTTTTGTTCTGTGTGGTTTTGATCCAAAATGTCTTTTCTTGTGGGATGGGCTTCTCTTGACTCCTCATAATGTTTGGCTCCTTTACCGTGTTACAGGAAAAGCCCTCGAGAGAATTTCCAGGCCGGACACTTGTCCCCCTGCTCTCCCACCCCTCCTGGCCAATCACCAAACAGGTACAAGAGCTTAGAGAGCCTTTCTGCGGCCCCGTGGTTTCGCCTGGAGGCTGCTGAGCGTGGTTTCGGCCAAATTCGTGCTTGCCAGATGATTTTGAGTGAATCATTGCACTCCCTCTCTTCCTAGTCCCGCACACAGGCCGGAGGAAGGGACACGTCCCCCCATCCTCCTGCAGATTTGCACAGCCCGTGATAGAAAAAGCCCAGTGCATGATGTTGGCACGGCTGTGGCCATGGAGCTTTAATTACATTGTGCAGAACCTGCAATCTAATAATAAAACCCACTAGACAATTGCCGGGCTCCTCCACCGGCGCCTTTCCCTCCAAGTTTGCCCAGTCCTTCTGGGCAGGGTCTGCTGATGGCTCTTACAGTGGCCCGGGGGGGCTGGCCACGAAACTCCATCCTTCCCTTACCCCACTCAGGCTCGGCCGTGATGGCTTCTGGACATTAATTGGGCCCCATGATATTCTTAAAAGCTGCCTGAGTTCCCATTCACTGGAGAGCAAAGTAGTGGCTACTCAGAGGTTTTCTTTGATTTGGAAACTTCATTTTACTACCGGATAAGAGGGAAATCCTAAGACGCAGAGTTTGCTCAGAGCAACTCTTCCCTTTTCTCTTGTCTTCCTTTCTGTTTCTTCGGTTCCTCTGTACCCTGTCGGCTTTTGGATGAAATTGCATATTTTTAAACGGCCTGTGTAATTCCAAGAGCTTTCCAGACAGTCCGGCATCGTGACGATGTGCCCTTAGCTGTGGGAAAGCTGCCTTGGAGGCTGGCGGTCAGTCCGCGGGGCCGGGTTCTAGTCCAGTGTAGGCCCCGTTGTGGGGGCTGCAGGGGGCCAGAAGGGGGGGTGACGCTGCCGTGCCCTCCAGGCGCTGATGGCTCAGAGAGGCAGCAGGTGCCCAGATCATGGAGTCACCAAGCGGTCACACTACAAGAGGTGGTGGGTAGGGACCCAACTAATCCAATCCCCTCATTTTAACAGTAGAAGGAAAAACCAAGAGCGTGTTCCTCCCACCAGATCCTAGACCTTGATGACAGCAGGGAGTGGCCCCATGTCTGCCTGGCACCTATTGGCCTACGTCACAGTTGCCTCTCTATGTTTCAACCACGACTTTTCTCTTAATATGTAAAAAGAAACGCCCTAGCGGGCCAGTGAACCGATTATAGAAAATTTCAAAGCAACGTCGAAACCTTAGGAATGCTAAAGCTGATTACCTTTTAGGACTTAAGAAAACATATGATAAATGATAAATGCATTGAATCATTGTCAAGGCGTTTAATTGCTGTGGTTGGAGAGACGCAACGTAGGCTTCTTAGAACATATGACAGAGAGACAGACCAACACCGCAAATCCCATGCCACAGCGGACGCCTGTTGCATCGGGTCGTGCATCTCGTTCGCGACTTGTCCCTAATGCCTGATTCCTGCCCGTTACCAGCTCCACTCGGGATGTAAACGTTCTTCAAATCCACGATCTGGTTTGTTTTTCTGCGTGAGGTCACGCATTAGTGCATTAGTGCGCTAGACCGACTATACTCTAAATGGACGTTTTATCTCCACATCTGTGTCGAACCTATAGGTCGATCAGCGGGAAGAAGCTGTGCTCGTCCTGTGGGCTCCCCCTGGGGAAGGGAGCGGCCATGATCATCGAGACGCTGCAGCTCTACTTCCACATCCAGTGCTTTCGGGTACGTGCGTGCCGCTCTCCCCGCGCGTGGCTCTGCGCGGAGACCTCGCCTCCTGGAAATCCTGCCGGCCTTCGTGAGGCCCAGGCGGCGCGGGTGTCTGCAGAGCCCGCCCTTCTGGATGAAGCCCCCTCCCCCGCGTCCATCTGGGGTGTCAGGTGACAAGGGGCCAAGGGCACATGCAGGCAGCGGCAGGAGCGGGGCCTGGTCACCGCCAAGCCTGGGAAGGCCGCGTGCATTTATGTGGAACGTCACGACTTTGTGGCTTCTGACACTCCTGTGACGTCGCATCAGAGTTTTTTGTCTTTGACCTAATGGAAGACTTCCTGCCAACTAAGTGGTCGATGGCCCGTTACAGAATTGTAGGCGTCCGGCGAACACGTGCGTAACCACGATTGGGTGTCCCCGTCGCCCGGACCAGCTCAGTGGCCCGTGTGACGGTCCTTACTGAGCCATTCGTGGTCCTTTATCACTCGCTTGCTTGTTTAATTATCATCTCCTCGAATAAACTACCACCTCCGTAAGGGCAGAGGCCACGTCCGTCCAGCTCACCGCCATTTCCTCCGATCCCCGCAGAGATCGTGTCAGTAGTTTTCGGTGAATGAAATAATCAATAAACTGAAAATGGGGAGTCCTAGACCCTAGTCCCACATCTCCTGCTAATAAGGAGGTGAACTAACAACCTCTAGTTCATTTCTTTTTTTTTTTTTTCCTCTAGCTCATTTCTTATAGAATTTACAAGCTGGACTGTTGGCGTCTCTTTTTTTTTTTTTTTTTTTTTTTTTGTCTCACCCGTGGACACAATTCAGGTTGTTAATACCTAATTCTGAAGCTAAACCTTGAATTCTGGATAAGAGTCACTTTTTTCTAACGTGCTTTCTTCCCCCCCCCCACCCCCCTCTCTAATTTTGTTGTGTTTCTTTGTTGGTAGATTTTTGAGCTATAAACTAAACTTGCGTGGGTGAAAAATAAGCCCCACTTTACCTATAAACCCACAGAAAGTGAGCAAAGTCCTAAAATTATTAATTTAATGGTATCCGTGATGACTGGAAAGCAAGACTCATCATGGGCAAAACACACCCGGGTACTTAATCAGACTCAATTTATCGATATTCTCATTGTGAAATGAAGCTGGACAGTGTGTGTCCCTAAATTGTCTGGAGGTGTCTTAAGGCTCAAACTATGTGCTTCTTAGACATTTCCTGGCAATGCCAAGATTCCGTGTCCCAATACCAGTTTGTTCTTAGAGACCCTCCCTGGACTTGAGATAATGCGGATGGCAGAGAGTCTTTGCCGTTTCTCACGGGATTCAGAGACTTGCCTCCTTGGCTGTCAAGGCCTTTGTTCGCTCCCCTGATTCCTGTCCTGGAGCTGATGCAACGCCTTAAGGCGCATCACCTCCCAGATTGAGCCCCTGCCCCAGTGAGTTCAGTGGAGCCTAGAACCCGGAGGAGGCCTCCCCAGGCCGCTGCTGACCTTGCAGCGAGAGGCTGCGGCTGGTTCTCCTCCCCCGAGTGGGGTCCCAAGCGCCCCCAGAGGCTGGCCTCTGCCACCTGCCCTGCTGCTATCAGGCCTCCTCCTGTACCCGGGCAGACTTTGCTGAGGTCTCTTCTGTTCCCAGTGGATTTGTTGCTCCGGGTGTCCCTGCTTTTGATGCAGAAGCGGAGGACGGAGTAGCTGACCCGGTGGGACTGGACAGCATTTCTGGGAAGCGTTTAAGGGTGGCCCACAGACGGGTTTCAGCAGAGCCAGGCGTTTACTTAAAACCACTAGAATGTCTCTGTTTGAAGTAGTTGTTTCGCGTTGGCTGAGCCGACCTGTCTTGACCCAGGCTCGGCCTGGGACCACCGACCAGAGCCTGCTGATCCAGTGTCCTTGTCTGTGAGATGCAGGGAGCAGGGGTGAAACGGCGCGAGTGAGCGTGTTGTGGCCGTCGGGGGCTCTCGGTGCAGGACCTGCCTCTGACCGTGCACGCAGTGGAGGTGGTGGCTGTGCCCTGGTGCGGAGCGCGCTCGGCCGTCTAACTTCTGTCCCTCCCGCCCCACAGTGTGGACTCTGCAAAGGACAGCTTGGGGACGCGGTGAGCGGGACAGACGTCAGGATCCGCAGCGGCCTGCTCAACTGTAACGACTGCTACCTGCGATCCAGAAGTAAGCACGGCGCTGGGCTCGGGGCCCAGGGTGGTCGCGGCGGCCCGCGCAGGACGGGAGCAACTCCTCACTGACCGGCCCCCCGGGGCAGGAGGGCCTGCGTCCAGAGGCCCTTGCCTTGCGGGAAAATAAACCAGGAAATGAGCCCTATTTACTGCCCGTCCCTTACTGAAGTGACCGCACGGTGAGGCCAAATGCTTTTTATCCAGAAAAATCCCTTGTGCCCACCGCCACGGAGGTGAACACCGTAGACCAAGCCTGAGACCTCGCCCAGGCTCACCGCAGAGATTTGGGAGAGCTAGATGGAGGGTGCAGGTCCGCACCGCGTGGCTCCCTGGGGTCCCAGGAGGAAGGGCTCCCCGCGCCGCCCAGCCCAGCCCCCCCATCCTCCGTCCGTGTGCCTGGCCACCCCAGGAGCCGAGCGAGGGCCTGCTTCCCCGCGGGCTGCCCCCAGCCCCGAGGCCCCCACGGCGGGCCCTGGCGCGCCCCGACTCTCCGGCCGCGGGAGGCCCGTGCTGGCGTTGGGGGCCCCGGGGTGCTGCTGCCCGCTTCAGCCGCGGCTCTCCCGAGAATCCCGCTCACTGGCTGCAGGGGGAGTACTCCCCTGGCGGGCACCCCCACCTGGGCTGCCAGCAAATTCAGAGTCAGAATTTCTTCCTTTAAAAACCGTGGGAGTGAAGAGAGCGAGTTTGAAATTCAAGAATCTTTTTTTTTTTTCTCAAAGTAAGTGAAGGGACGTCTTTTACAGTCTTTTTTACATGGGTCTCTAAATCTGCAAGCCTGAGGATTGGAGAGTGAAATTGAAGTTGTCTTATTGCTGTGGATTTAGTAAATTCAGAGAAGTATATGCCTACTTTAATAAAATAATGGGAAATAAGAATTAGATCACGGCAGCCCCGGGTGGCTCCGCGGTTGAGCACCGCCTTCGGCCCAGGGCGTGATCCCGGGGTCCTGGGATCGAGTCCCGCGTTGGGCTCCCTGCATGGAGCCTGCTTCTCCCTCTGCATGGGTATCTGCCTCTCTCTCTCTGTGTCTCTCATGAATAAATAAATAAAATCTTTAAAAAAAAAAAAGAGATCAAACACAGGTGGTTCTAATCCATGACAAACGTTAGACTTAAAGTCAAAACAGTTCTGACTTTGAGCTGCTGCCCTCCAGCTGAGTTATTTGTACCACATACTATATATACATACACTATATTGATATTGATTTTATATATCATTTATGGTATCTATTGACATAATATGTAATATTGATATTAATTTTATACTATGTATTTTATATATATAATAGGGTATAAAGAGTAAAAAAAAAACCTAAACTCCATAAAATGATCAGCAAAAAATAGTATATTCTGTATAATCCATAAGTATGTAAGTATACACTATACATATATAGTGTATAGTAATTAAATATATTTATTTATATTTATTTAAACTGGATTTTTACTTTTTGGTTTTGTTTTTATACATTACAATGGAAAATTAAGCCCTTTTCTCCCATATGCCAAAGTGCTTTTAACTATCATCTTCTACAAACTATACTTTCTCTATCTCCATGAACCAGATGAATGTGAATCATGGAACCAGAAGAGGGCACTGTTAGGTTGAAGGACTGTTAAGCCAGATTGGAAAACTACTGTAAATCTGAATTTCTTTCACAATTTAAAGTGTTTGGAGGATGCCAGCAGAGAATAAACCTGAACCCACCTCTGAGTGACAGTGACCTGTTTTCATCCAGATTTTTATTTTATTTTTTATTTTATTTTTATGTAAAGATTTTTTAATTTAAATTTTATTATTTTAATTTTATTTTATTAAATATGTAAATTTTATTTATTTAGTATTTTAATTTTGTGTTTATTAAATATTATATTTTGTTTTTATATTTTATTTAGATTTACTATAGTAAATACTTATATTTACTATATTATTATGAAATATATAGTATTAAAATAAAATATATTTTATTACTTTAATTTTATTTAAAGATTTTTATCTATTTGAGAGAGAGTGAGAGTGCACATGAACAGGGGGCAGAAGGAGAGGGAGAAGCAGACTCCCACTGAGCAGAGAAGAGCCCGACCTGGGGCTCCATCCCAGGACCCCGGGATCATGACCTGAGCCTAAAGGCAGATGCTTCACCGACTGAGCCACCTAGGCGCCCCCACATTTTCATTTTTAATGGAGAGATTGAGTGATTTATTGTCATTTCTTTTGGAAACTAGCTTTTTGGATCTAGGCCAGTAATTTATCTCCTGTGCATACAAATAAAAAAGGCCTTAACTGCTTCTAATTCCAAATCTAAAGACAAGAACCATGGAGTTACATTCATCCATATTATAAGTTATAATAGTCCCCTAGATAAAAAATAAAAAAGTGATTGGGAGGTAAACTAAAACGATTTTTTTGTTTGTTTTATATTTTATATGAAATATTTTACTAGGATTTTTTTTTGGATACTAAGAAGAAAGCAAGAAGGCTCATTCCTCCTCTGCCTATAGATATTCAAAGGAATAAGTAAATGCAACTATGAATGGTATAAAGTTAGAATGGTGGGTTGTTTAGAAAGATACCAAATTAAAGATTTTATTTATTTATTCATGAGAGACCCGGGCAGAGGGAGACGCAGGCTCCATGCAGGGAGCCCGATGCGGGACTCGATCCCAGGACCCCGGGGTCACGCCCTGAGCCCGAGGCAGATGCTCCACTGCTATTCACTTTTGGAGCCAGCGAGGGGCCACAGATAGACACCAAATTAAAAATGAAAGTCTCCAGAATTAACCGCTGTAATCACTTTAACTATTTCTTAGAGAGAGAGGCAGATGTACATTGGTATACGCGTACACATACCCACGTGCACGTGTGTGATGCGTCTGCCTATGTGTGTGCTGGGTATAGGGTTCTGTAGGGTTCTGTACTCTTTGTTGCTCTTGCTTTTAACTTAATATGATATATTATGGCCATTTTTTTCATGTAACATTCTTTCTCCTCATTCTTCCAAATGGCTTTCTAATACCCGAGTACAATACCATTGTGTGGACTTTTACCATGATTTAAAACTAATTCTCTGTGCAGGGGCACTTTGGTTGTTTCCAGCTTTTTTGGTAGGTCTTCTTAAAGGCTCCCAGGACCGTCCACAGACATCGGTCTTTGTGAACGGTTGAAAGCATTTCCATAGGGCAGATTCGGAGCAGGGGGACTGCTGAGTCAACAGTCATGTGCTTTTAAAATTTTTTCAATTTGTCTAGTTATTTTCCAGAAAAGTGCAGGAGAGGGCCCCGTTCTCTCTCCACGCCTGTGTCAGCTCCGGAGAGCGTCAGACTGTAAATGTCCACTGTCGCGTGGGCGAGAGAAGATCCCATTGCTTTGATCTGTGTGTCTTTAAGTGAGCTTGAACATCTTTTCACGTGTTTATTAACCGTTTCTATTTCTTTTTTGCTATAAAATATTTATCTTTCTTCTCTATCCTTTGCCCGTTGTTTTGTTGATACTTGATTTGTAGTTCTTTGTAAATTAGAGACATTTCCCCTTGATTTTATATTTGCTGCTTACTGCAGTTGTCATTGGTCTTTCTGCATGTGAACTTTTTTTGATGGAAAAGATTTTCATTTAAGGTGATTAAACATACCTTTTCCCCCCCCTTTTTTTGGATTCCAAATTTTGTGTCCTGCTTAGAAAAACTTTCACTACTCCGAGGATTTATCTTAGATTTCTCCTAGAATTGTTCTTTATTTTCTTTTTCACATGTAAATATGTGATCGTCAGAAATATATTTTGGGATAAGAAATGACATCAATGTCCAGCCTTATTTTATTTTATCTTTTTGCCAATTAGCAGCTGTGCAAATATAACTTAATAATCCCTTTCTTTCTCATTAATTTGAAATGCCAGCTTTCTCATAAACTAAGTTCCCATAAATATTTAGATCTATTTCTGGATGTTTTATTATGCCTTATTAACCTACTTATTCTCTAGTATTGAATCGTTTTAATTATTATAGCTTCATAATATGTTTTAATATTGAGTAGTAATGACTACTTTCTTGCCAACTATTTTTTTTCAATTTTTTCTTAACTCTTCTCTCATGCTTATTTTTCCAGCTAAATATTAATATTATGTTGGGCTAAACTGTACTTAACACATGACAGGTACAATGATAAGCATATCTGAGACTAGTGCACATTTCTTTTTTGGTGCCAGAAGAAAAAAATATAGCTTAAGAATGAATCAGTGGGGGGAAAAAAAAAAGAGTGAATCAGTGGAGGGGATAAATAATTGGCTTAAGAAGTATAAATACACTTGAATTGGTTGAGTATATCCCAGCTGCAATAATAAAAAAGAAGTCAGAATGGAAAGAAATTGCTAAAAACCATTTTTCTTTCTTTTTTATTTGATTTGGATCTGAGCTGAGAAGAGGGGAGCTGGGTAGATGGGCGGGGGGTGGTTTACATCATAGGCATTCTAAGTGAAACGAAATAATTTCATTGTGTGGAATAATAAAGCCTGAATATATAATCCCATTTTCTTCAAGTAACTAGTCACATTTAAATGAAATTTTTCTCTTGGAGGGGAAAAATAGCATAACGGCATATTAAAATGCAATTCCTAAAAGCAATGTAAACGGTTTTTAAGTTCATATGTAAATGGGAATGGAAGTGCAAAACAAATCACCTGCCACAAGTGAAGCCGTCACGTGGCTAGCCTGTGCCATTTGCGCTTGGGTGTTGGATGGCTGTGTCTCTGTGTCTGTTCCATCACTCATTCTGGTGACACGCATTTAACGTAAAATCCCCAGGGTCTCTTCCAGTGTTGTGATTGCCTCATTACAACTCTCGTGCCTCCGACGGAAGGAGAAACTTTGTGAAGGTTCAGCAGGAAATATGGAACCCAAACCATCCTTCTAGATGGAGTTACCAGATAAAATACAAGATGCTCCATTAAAATATTTTTGTCCTGGGACGCCCGGGTGGCTCAGTGGTTGAGCGCCTGCCTTCGGCCCAGGGTGTGACCCCGGGGTCCCGGGATCGAGTCCCGCATCGGGCTCCCCGCAGGGAGCCTGCTTCTCCCTCTGCCCGTGTCTCTGCCTCTCTCGCTGGGTCTCTCATGAATATAATTTTAAGAACTTATATTTTAAATTTTTTTTAAATTTTAAAAGAAATAAAATTTTTTTAAAAATTAAAATAAAAAAATTGTAAAATAAAATTAAATATAAATAAAAAGTTTTGGAAGAAATAAAATTTTTAAAAGTTAAAAAAATAATAGTAAAATATTTTTGCCTTATTAAATGTGAATTTCAGAGAAACAATGATCTTTTTTTAGTATGTGTGTTCCAAATATTGCATGGTCAGGATTTAGCACAATCTCAAATACCCCTATGGGATATACTAGAAAAAAAACTCTTTTTTGAATTTGTTGTTTACCTGAAATTCAAATTTTATTGGGTGCTATGTATTTTCATTTCCTACGTCTAGCAGTCCGACTTGCATGAGTTTATAGGTGGATCACAGGATCACAGGATCCTCCTGTAGCGATGTACGTATTCTCAGAGAAACCAAAAGCTAAAGAACCAGAGAAGAGAGGTGATTTTCTTGCGTATTTGCCCCAGAAGACAAAGTAGAAAACTTGATGAAGACCGTTTGGTTTAGGGTGAACCCCAGATTTCATACGAATCCCCGGGGGCTCCTGGTTCAGCTCCAGGGGGGACCCGAGACCGGTTCTGACGAGCGCAGGTGACGCGGGCACTGCCGGCCTGGAGGGAAGGGACGCGGGTGGGTCGCCCCCGCCCCCCGCGTGCCCTGTCCCAGGCAGGCAGCACCGGCCTCTAACCAGATGTTGCTCTGTGTTCTTCGTCGTAGGTGCCGGCCAGCCCACCACCCTGTGACGTGGCTTCAGGCTTCCCGCTCACCCGTCGCTCTGTTGAGGGGGCGTCCCCTGCGACCGTTTAACACCACCCCACGTGCAGGGCCTTCTGGGCGGCGATCTCATTTCTGAAAAGATGGTCTCTGTTCTTCTGTAGCACAGCGTTTGTGTTCTTCCCCGGTTTTGTTTCGGGTTTGACTTTTGTTTTGTTTTGGGTTTGCATTCGCAAAGTACATCTGAAAGAGTCCTGAGCTGCAGGGGGCCCGTGGGTCCCCAGGATGGCTTGGGGTCCCTGGGCGGCCTCCCCTGAGAACCAGCCAGATGCGGGATGCAAGGCCGCTGGGTGTGGGCAGGGGTCCCACGTGTCGGTTTGCGGAGGGCGGCTGCGGGGCTGCAGCTCGGGCCGTGTGAGCGTGGCCTCCTCGGGCCGAAGCTGCGGTTCAGCGGGGCAGGACTGGGGTGGGGGTCCCCCGCTGGCCCTGAGCCGCACCTGGGCCGCAGGGCCACGCCCGCAGCACCTGTCACCCCCGGGACGCAGAGGTCATGCCAGTGGCGGCTGTGCCTCGGGGGTTGTGGCATGCTGGCGGCCGGCCCGTCGGAGCCCGCACCTGGTGAGCCCCCCGATACCCCCACCCTGGGCCCTGCCGGGGGGTGGACACCACAGGGAGAGGTTTGGGGCATCGTTTCCAAAGCTGTGACCGAACCCCGCGAGGAGGCTGCCTGTTGGAAGGGCGCTGGGCAAGACCCCGGCCTGGCGACAGGTGCACACGGGGGCCCCAGGACCTGCCGCCCTGAGTGACCACGGTGCCATCGCGGAGACCAGAGCCTACGTTGTGCCCTGCCCGCTGCAGCAGGTGCGCCCTGTCCATCCTCCCACGTCCCGCGTCCCCCACTGCTCGGGGGAGGCCACCAGGGGATGGCGGGGCTGGCCGTGCCAGGAGCTGGCTGCCAACGGAGGCTCCGGGTCCCCGGCGCGACCACCTCCGTGTCCATGCTGTTTTCTTCAAGACCGGGCCACGGGGCTTATTTATCCTGCCTTAAAAAGACGGCAAATAAGTGAAGATGACATTTTGTGAATGTAGACTCTGGGTAGACTCCTAATAGGTTAGCATAGTCATGAGGAGGACCTCGAGTAGATGTCCGTCCCGTTTATGTAAGCAATAATTCTTTTCTGTGTCTTATTGAGTATGGCTAGCAATTATTTATTTACAGGCTAGACAGTCCTCTGCATGCGGGTTCCATGTAAGTGCAGAAATTTCCTCAGCCACCGGAGGTATTTTGACCATTTTGCCATTTGGATGAGCTGTCGTTAGGTTGAAATTTACACATCATTTCATTTAAAAAAAAAATCGTGCCTTAGAAAATGCGAAGCTGTTGCACATAGTCCGTGATGAATTATGGATGCAGTACCTTGGAGAGAGAGGAAGTCACTTCCAAGTCACCAAGACTTCGGAAGTGTTTGCTGTTTTACGGGGAGAAAAAAAAAATTCAAAAAAAAAGAAAAATAGAAAAAAAAATCAAAAAGTTTTGAAAATGTACAGATTAAGTTCAATATTTTGATTAACCACCTGCATGTTTTATTAAATATTTTGATAATGTGGATGTTTACACTTTGCATGATATTAGCGGAGTACCTTACCACAAATAATGCACAGAACATGTACAATATGATCATTCATAACCGATTTTTATAGGATACTTTTTACATGTGGAACTCCATCTGTTATGTAAGGATTATATGAATATTGCACATTCTCCTCTGGTTTCACAAACCCATTTATACATATTTCTTAGACTCATTGTACATGTATTGAAGCCTGAATCGAGTCAAGAAAAATAAAGCGCCATTCTCCGCCTGCGAAATGTGCTTTCCCATAATGAACAATAGTCACCAGCACAGAATAATCTCCAACATTTTCTAAATTCTAATTGCCAACTGTTTCTATTTATATTTGATTTATATTTCATTTGGAGTCTGTTACATGGCAGCTCGGACGGACTAGATCTTGTTTTTTCCAATGCAGCATAAGGAGTATGATCTATTTCTTTTCAAATAATCTTTGAAATCCCAGGAAAAAAAAAAAAGATGCTCTGCTCTGTGGAGCTACGAGGTAAATGCGTTTGTTTAAAAAACAGATGAGGCATGTGAGTGATTTATCGTTCCTGAGGAAATATATCTGATTTTTCTCCCCCTCATACTGCAGAAGCTAGTCCTTTCTTAAGAAAAAAAAAAAAAAGAAAAGAAATGGGTAACTGTTTTCTCACTAGCACACTTTCATGGCATTTCCTCATCCTTTCCGTGTAGTGTTACTAATGCGGCGCCTATTGTAGTTCTCTGTACGCCGTGTAGGATTAACAGACTGAGACGATCCACCTCCTGCGTGGGTCCATCCAAGAGATGTTACTGTTCTGGGTGGGTGGGCCAGTGTTCCGTATCAGTTATACTAACCTTCATTTAAGATATTTATTCTAAAATGCCTCTGACAAATAGTAAAAAAAAAAAAAAAATTAAAAAGTTGTCTAAAATGCAACAGCTTTTATAGTAAATGTACATTTATAAATAAAATACTCGAATCAACTCTGTATTCCGTTATTTGGGGGGCGTGGAGGGGCAGCTTTCTCGGGGCGGGGGATGGGGGGAGGCTCACGCAGTGTCCCCGGGAGCCCATGCGTGGCCCAGGGTCCCGGTCACGGGGTGGCAGGGAGGCGCCTTGATGCCCTTCGGGGGCAGGAGTCGCCAAGGAAGCGCCTTCCCTGGAGGGTTGGCACCCCCGGAGGGGCCGTAACCCAGAGGGAGCCGCAGGCCCGGGCCAGTTGTCCCCGCGCTGCTGGGCCTCCCGCCAGGAAACGTGCCAAACAGAGGCTTCCTACTGATGCCGGGAAATTTCCAGAGTAGAAGGCACCTGGGCTGGCCCTGCCACAGGTGTGGGAGCAGGATGAGGGAAGCAGGTCCTGGGACACTCCGCCGCCCGGGCACGTCCTGATCTCGACAGGTGGTTGGGCCCTGGGAGCGGCTGCGCCTCTGGGGTCGCTGACCTGTCGCCCTCAGGCAGCTGCAGTAGCCATCGGGCCACTGCCTGTGCCCATCGTCCCTTCAGGAGAGTCAGGCCTCCGCGAGACCTTTGACACCAAGAGGTGTCGCCACAACCCGCACTCCCCGCAGGGCCCTGTCCCAGGTCCCCATCGCAGGGCCCCACCTCAGGTCCCCATCCCAGGGCCCCACCACAGGTCCCCATCCCAGGGCCCCACCTCAGGTCCCCATCCCAGATCCCCATCACAGGTCTCCATCCCAGGGCCCCACCGCAGGGCTCCATCCCAGGGCCCCACCGCACGGCTCCAACCCAGGGTCCCACCGCAGGGCCCCATCCCAGGACCCTATGCCAGGGCCCCATCCAAGGGCCCCATTCTGCTTGGGTCTGCACCGCCTGCCGCCCACCGATTTTCTTCAAGACCCAAGGACTTCTTCTCAGGGTCCTGTTTAGAGCACAAGGGACCCTTGCCCATCCTCGGGGTTCTCTAAGTCAAGCGGCCCAACTCAGGCACCCGGAGGGACTGGTCATACCCCAGAGGAGGAGCAAGGGTGGCCAATCCGGAGGGTGTAGACTATAGCCACCTGCCACATGGCCACGTCTGTCCTTCTGAAGAGAGGTGCCTCCGTGACTCCGGGCAGTTGTCTCCAGACGGAATCATGGGCCTTTAAATGTCAAGGAGGAGCGCTGAGAGCATTCCCGACTTGAGCCTGCAAGTGAGAGCCCCCCCCCTTCCCAGCTGCTCTCTGCCCGCTTCTGCAGCCTGCATCTGAGCCCTAGCACCCACCTCCCTCCTGCGGTGCCCTCGGCCAGGCCCACGCTTGTCGAAGCCTCTTGGGCATTGTTGCACCAAGGGTAGCTTTGCCCACGTTGTTCTATGCATCACAAAGCACGTCGGGGGGTGTTTATCCGCCCCCCCATTCCGCAGGTGGCAAATGGAGGTGTGAGAGCAAGTGAGGCTTGTCCCGGGAGGGCGAGTGAGAGTGTCCGTGACTGTGTATCCGTCACCATCGCCAGCCGGGGTGGCCGGACTCCCCTCCCGCACAGCGGGGCCTGGCCCTGCTCGGTCTCCGCCAGCCCACCCCGGAGGAGCCTGAGCCACCAACTGCCTGGAAGTTGGCAGGATTTAATCTACACCCAAATGGAGAGCGGAGCCGTCTTCTTAGGGTAAATTGACACTCACAAAATCCTCAAGTGGACTTAGGATTCCCACATTACCCCTTAGGGTTTGATGTCTTTCCCCGAGAAGAGAGAAGAGAACTGGCCCTTGTGACGTGACGTTGGGCATCTTAGTGTTTGCCGGCACGGTCGCTAACGAGTCTCTCAGGCCAACCTCACACCTGGCCGGAGCCCAGCAACCCATGCCCTGACCCACAACACTTCCAAAGCCTCTCCACCCTCCCGGAATCTGGTCCCCAGAGCTGGGAAAAAGTAGCCTTCCTTATAACATGTTTGTCCAGCCCAACCTTTGTTTCACTGTCTCAAACTCAACAGCACAGGCCTCCGATGGGGAGACGGCCCGGAGGGCACAGCCCACAGATTCCTATAGCACAATAGTATCTCACTGCCAACATTAAATCAAGGCATTTCATCTTTCCCGCAGGAACAATGACATTATCCATGAAAAACCTGTTTACTGGCCACCAAGGAGTCAGAGAACTAGTTCAGCTGCCCTGTTAGTCTAGAAAATACTGTGGCTGGAAAGTGACCGAAGTATAAATCTACAAAGCCCCAGCCAACATCTCAAGCACCACACTCCTTCTCTGGGGCCAGCATTACTTACTATCCCAAGCTCCGATCCTGAAGTATGCAGCAGTTCCTCCTGAAAACATGAAAAGTTCTGATAATATTTCCTGTTCTCTAATACTTTGAAGACTGAGAAGCTACACCTTGTTTATACGATAACACTCCACGAAACAAGTGGAGTATATGATTTGCTAACTGCAGATGCCTATTCTGAGATGAACCAAGAAAGTTTGGAGAGAAGGAAAAAAGAAATTTGCTGTACCAACCGGAAAACTTACTATAAAGATAACAATAAACAAGTACATATCTTGGCCAAAAATTAATAAACTAATTACAATTAATGGAGCAAAGTATATGGCCCAGAAACAGACCCAAATAAATATACAACTTATAGTGTATAATAATAATAATAATGGTATCAGAAATCAGTGGATAAAGGAGGAACAGTTAATTAATGTCACCCTTTCACAATAAAATTAATTCCAGATTAACTAAAGTTTTAAGTGCAAAAAAAATGATAGGTTTAAATACGTTTACATAATAAAGGGAATTTTAGGCAAAATTTACAAGTGATGAAAAACTGGGGGAAATATTCCCAACAAATAAGCCAAAAGGTTAATGTCCTCAACATAGGAAATCCTTTGCAAATCAATGGAAAGTGGGCACAAGGACATTAAAAAAGCAGGACAGAAAAGGAATATAAATGACCAGTAAACATGAAAAAAATGTTCAGCTGACTGGTGATCAAAGAAATGTACATTAAAACAACAGTAAGATAAGACTCTCCCTACACCCCCCAGATTAGGAAGTCAATCAATTATATTAAGAACTAAAAACTTCCATATCACAAAAATAAAGATTTTAAAAGGCTACAAACCAAGAGAAGTTTTGTCACACGTCCAACCAACAAAAGATTAGTATCCAAACTGAATAAGGAAATTCAAAATATCAATAAGAAAAATACAAACCGGGGATCCTTGGGTGGCACAGCGGTTTGGTGCCTGCCTTTGGCCCAGGGCGCGATCCTGGAGACCCGGGATCGAATCCCACATCGGGCTTCCGGTGCATGGAACCTGCTTCTCCCTCTGCCTGTGTCTCTGACTCTCTCTGTCTCTCTGTGACTATCATAAATAAATAATTTTTTTTAAAAAAATAAAAAAAAAAGAAAAATACAAACGGGCAACTGGGTGGCTCAGTTGGTTAAGCGTCTGCCTCTGGCTCAGGTTGTGATCTCGGAGTCCTGGGGTCGGGCCTGGAGTCAGGTTCCCCACTCTGCAGGGAATCTGCTTCTCCCTCTCCCTCTGCTCATCCCCACCTTTTGTGCTCTTTTTCATTCTTTCTCTCTCTCTCAAATAAATAAATACAATCTTTTTTAAAAAGGAAGAAAAATGTAAACAGGTCAATTAAAAAAATGGACCGGGCAGCCCTGGTGGCGCAGCGGTTTAATGCCACCTGCAGCCCAGGGCCTGATCCTGGAGACCTGGGATCGAGTCCCATGTCAGGCTTCCTGCACGAAGCCTGCTTCTCCCTCTGCCTCTCTCTCTCTTTGAATAAATAAATAAATCTTTAAAAAATAAATAAATAAATAAATAAATAAATAAATAAACAGACCAAAAACATGAAAGTGATATCATAGGAAACATGAACAGAAAAAAAAAAAGGCAAAAATACATTCAATTTCATTAGGAAGATGATGCAAATTAAAACCATTATAAAAAAAATAAAACCATTATGAAATGTCATTTAGACCCATCCAATTGATAAAAATTTAAATCTTTGGGATCCGTGGGTGACTCAGTGGTTTAGTGCTGCTTTCAGTCCAGGGCATGATCCCGGCCGGGATTGAGTCCCACATCGGGCTCCCCATAGGGAGCCTGCTTCTCCCTCTGCCTGTGTCTCTGCCTCTCTCTCTGTGTCTCTCATGAATAAATAAATAAAATTTTTTAAAAAAAAATTTAAAGCTTTGATGACACTAAGTAAAGATATGGAGCAATGGGAATTCAAACACTACTTATAAAAAATGTATATTGATAAAAAGTTAATATCCAAAATACATAAAGAACTTACACAACACCAAAAAGCAAAACAAACAACTAACTTGATTTGAAAATGAGTGGAGGACCTGAATAAACATTTTTCCAAAAAAGACATGCGGACAGCCAACAGACACACAAAAAGATGCTCAACATCACTCACCACTAAGAAAATGCAAGTGCAAACCACAATGAGGCATCAACTCACACTTGTCAGAATGGTGAAAATAGAAAACGTTTAGAAACCAGTGTCGGCAAGGATGTGGAGAAAAGGAAATCCTCGTGCACCGTTGGCGGGAACGCAAATCGGTGCGGCCACTGTGGGGAAAAGTTGGAAATTCCTCAAAGAAACAAAAATAGAACTACCCTATGATCCAGTAATTCCATTACTGGATATTTATCTCAATCAATCAATCAATCAATCAATCATCAATCACTAAATCACAAAAGTACATTCCCCCCGGAGTTCATTGCAGTGTTGTTTATACAGAAGCGGCCCGAGCATCCACGGCAGGTAAGTGGATAAAGGTGCGCGTGCAACACACACGGCGGAGGAGTATGAGCCACAAAGATGCTCGACACGTTGCCACTTGCAACAGCATCGCCGGCCCTAAAGTAAAATAAATCAGCCAGAGGAAGACAATTAGCACATGGATTCCCCTGTAGGTGGAACTTAAGAGACAAAATAAATGAACAGAAAAAGGAAAAAAGAGAGACAAAAACAGCCACCCCGCTCTTAAACACAGATAACAAGCTGGTGGTTGCCAGAT